CCTGCTGAAAGGTGAGGCAGTTGATTACTGAACCTATATTTTGCTTAAACTTCGCTTTTTCATACTGAGATACTGAAATCCGTGATCTGTCCAGGTGACGACGAGCAGAACTTGCAGCTCTGAGCCCATTTACTACATCACACTTGATTTCTGGCAACCCCCAGCACAAAATCTGGCCGAGACCCTTTTATTACCGCATTGTTGGAAAACCGAGTGGAAAAACTATTCTCGTAAACCCTCCGTAAGGAAAAACAACCAGAAAAAAAGTAAAATCTGAATTTCAGTGAAACCCGAGGAGGAACGTTAGGAGTTCGCAGCATTAGATCATCGTGTGCCTTGGCTTTGCCTTGGCTTAGCGATGCTGTTCGGAGAATGCTCTCCCCGAGGGCAGATGAATGCCGGCCTCTGTGGGGTTTTTATCCCCCTGCTGTGACACCTGACCCAACTACCTGCCTTCTGTCAGAACAGCCGCTTCGCTGGACATTTTGTGGCCCAGAATGTCCCCCAGGGCACAGTCCTGGTGGGGACAGCAGCACAGGGTACAGCTGAGCGGGGTGGGTGTGGAGGAGTCCACCCCCCTCCGGCTGCCACCGCTCACTCCTGGGCACCGCTTCAGTTCTGACGGCAGCGGTTGCCTCCTTGGGGAGGGAGCAGCGTCACCGCTGCAACGAGAGAGACCGCAGGCTCGAGAAACCCACCCTAACGAGGGGCAACAGCCAAAAATAGTCTGGGAAATTTAAGATGGGAAAATTTTTCCACTAGGACCCCGGAACAGCTTATCTGGGGAGGAGGTGGGTACAATCTCTGGTCTTGAGGGTTTTTTGTCGAGATTTATCTGGCCAAAAGCCCAGCTGACCTGAGCTGGTGTTGGCAAGAGCCTTGGATCAAGCACAAGGTTGGACTAGAAACTTCCAGCAGCTGGAGACGACATTTGTGCCCATCCGCCTGCCCTCCTCTGTTCCGCAGGACGGAACAACCAAGTGGCCAAACCCCCAACTTCAGAAAAAAAGATACAATTCCTCAGCGGAGACACCGGAGGGATTTTAGGGTCTGTCTCACGACAAGACACTGAGGACAAGGCAGTCAATACGCCGCTGCCACTCCCGCGCTTCTGACAGAGGAGTTTCTTAATTCGCAGCCGTAAGGTGAAAGTGCAGCTGCGGTTCAGGGCACGGAGCAGAGGGAACATTTCGCTGCCTCTGACTTCTCCAGCAGTTTGTCAACAAATCCTTTGAGCCACTCGGCTCCACTTCTGTTCACCTTTGAATCCCGTTAGTTAAAAGAAGTGGTTGCGATTTTTACATTATTTTTTATATCTGGCTTCATATTCTTGAATGAAACTGCCCAGACTGTAAGAAGGACGCAGATCTTACCGTAACCGACAATCACTGGGAACAACCTTCATCAGGCACATGTAAAGGTGCCGCCGTCTCTGAGCGATCTGCGCTTTCACAACGCCAAATGCTTTCCATGCACGCCCTTAAGCATATTCTTACGATAAGCCTTACTGTCTCACGAGACTCTGTTTTCAAATCAAAGTTTATTAAAATGTCAAAAATAGAACTTACAGTTTCACATAGGAAAGAAGAGGGCATACACAGTACAGGCCTTTAGTAACAAAATCGGTGAATAATGCGTTACAAGCTAAAGCGGGCGGGTGGCATCACCGCTCGTTAACATACAATCTCAGGTTAAGAACATCTAGAAGACTAATTGCAAACATGCTCATACATATCTAGCGAAGGGGGAGCGGGTCAGCGGGGAGCCAGGGAAGTAGGCTGCCTCCGCGGGGAGAGGGAACCAGTCGCGGCTCAGCAGCAGAGACTGGCGCAGGCTCCTCGAGCATCCACGTACTGGAGGAAACACAAGATGAACCAAACATGCACGGAATAATCTGTTATTTTCTTTTTAAAGATCTGAAGAGCACGACTCCAGGGCCCGCTGGGGAACCCAACTCGATGCTACAGGATTAAACAGCGACTCGGGCAAAGGCTCCTGCTGGAGAAGTCCTTGTTCTGGTTTACTCGCTGGGGTTTGTCGCTCGGTTCTGAGGCGAGTCTCTCGTTCTCACATCAGTAACCGCCTGATTTCTAGCAGTCGTCAGAAAGGAACGTATGAAAGATTTAATACTCCGAACCCTTAATTGCCCTTCCTGGTAAAAAATTAAATATTTGATTCATCTGAATATTCAAGAGAGACAATATAAATACAGAAGAATGTACATAATAAAAAACATATACTGAGTTTCTTAACCATAGCGCTCGATCGACTCCTACACAGTGACTAATTATTGCTCACTCTAGCTTACCAGCTTATTTGTGAAATTCCATCCTCCTACCTATCCAGTACCTTGGAGAACCAGGAACACTCACAGATGTTTCGCGATACGGCTGAAGCCCTTCACCGAGCCCGGTTCTTCTTGCTCCTCGTGCTGTTCCAGCCAGGAAAGCAGCACAAGGCCCGGACATCGGTACTTGCTGCTTGAGGATGCTCTTCGCCCTGCCCAGGAGTCCTCTGCAGGGT